TCTCTCGGCTCCGGAAGGGCAGGGAAGCCCCGGGGCGCTTGCCAACGCTCGGGGCCCCCTCGACGTGCTGCCGCAAGAGGAAGGCCGGGCGCCCTCCGCGGCTTCCTCTTTGGGTGGCACTCCGCCGTCCTTGTGCACCAGGGCCCGCCCTCCTCCTCCGGCGACCCTCTGCCAGTGGGGGGTGGCCTTTGGGGCACCGAATCCTTTGGCGGGTTGCAGAAGCGGGGAGTTTCAGCCAAAGGCAGCCCCCTCCTTCCTCTGCGGCCTGACCAGGGCCTGCCTGGTATTCTTCACGCCTGGCAGTGCCAGCATTTCTAGAGCAAAGGATTCGGGGGTGCCTGCTGGTGTGTTTTCCACGCTGGCTTGATGGGGTCTCTGTTCCGCCTTTGGTGAAGATCTGCCGTTCTGAAGCACAGAACGAATCGCTTTCTGTTGGTTCCTGATCAGTCTATCGGCCACTGGCATTTGCAGCAGGATCCTACTTCCTGGTCCACGCCAGGAAGACATTTTTACAGCTATATTTGCGATGGGTTGTATTCAAAGTTCAGCTTGCGTATATATCGCTAAACACCCGGACTTTGCTCATAAATGTGAAATTACCTTCCGGCTTCAAGATTCCCACATGATAACAATCAAGGAGAACATCAGGGTGTTTCCTCCTGACCTTGAACTCTCTGAAGGGGCCTGGTGAAATGGGTGCTGCTTCCGCGAGGCTTTTCTGCTCCTTTGCTGGATGGGGGCTGGTCCCTTTGGAAGGGCTTGCGGAACCCTTCTGGAGCCTTTCTGGGCTGACTCACCTCACCGAGTGAATGAACAGGAAGAGCAAGCAGAATTTGGCAAGGAAGAGATGCTTCCCCCACTTCTTTTCGCCACGTTCTTTCTCTCCAAAGGGGCAGCTTTTGGCATCCTGCAGCCCTAGCAAGCAAACAGGGAGGGGTTGCATGGAAATTTGGGGAGGGGAGAGGTGGGGAAGGCTCCGGGCACCCCAGACAGCCAGGGAAGCGGCATCGTAACCTGCAAAATGGGTCTTCCTGCCTGAAAAATGATACCCCGATGCAAGCGCGAGCTTGTGTCTTTGTTGGAGGAGAAGGGGAAGGGTCTTGAGAAGAGCTGCTCCACTGAGAATTCACCGTGTCACAGGCAGGGAGAACAGAAGGTTGCCAGATTAGCGTTCTAGATTTCAAGAGAACCGATCTCAACAAGCTAAGAGCAAAATTAGGAAGGATTCTGTGGATGAAAGTCCTGAGGGGGAAAACAATTGAGGAGAGTTGGGAAACCCTGAAAAATGAGATAATTAAAGCCCAAACACAATTAATTCCGAAGAGAAATGAAATGGGAGACACCTAATGAGGCCACCATGGTTGCACCAAGAGCTCTCTGTAAACTGAGAAAAAGGACAAGTTTAACAAAGAAAGCAGAATATCAGCCTGAATCTGCAAGGATGAAGTCAGGAAGGCTAAGGCTCAGCGGGAGCTAAGGTTTGCTGTGAAAAACATAGAGAGAGTTCTTTGGGTATGTGTGGAACAGGAGAGAAGTCAAGGAAGCAATCTGCCCACTGGTTGGAGAAGAGGGCGATGGCTGAATGACATAATTGCTATTTTGCATCTGTCTTTTTGCACAAGGAAAAAGCAGTTTGACTTGTCGGAAGAGTCACTCTGGGGAACAAGAGAAGGGCAGATCAAAATAGGCAAGGAAGTGATGAGAGAAGAGCTAGGTGCTTTGAATGAATTCACGCCCTAGGCCCAGATGGATTACTTCCTAAGGTGTGAAAGGAAGTAGCAAGTGTGATCCCAGAAGCACCTACTGTACTCTTCGAGAATGCTGGGGGTACATAGGAAATGCCAGAAGAATGGAGAAGACTTAATGTTCCACTCTTTAAAAAATGGGACCCAGGAAACTATAGACCAATCAGCTTAACATCAACATCTGTGAAAATCCTATAAAAATCATAAAGCATTGGGTTTACTAGACTTCACTGAGACATTTGAGAAGGTTGACCATAGCCTCCTTGTTAAAATAGAACAGTGCAGGATGGATAGTCTCACCACCAGATGGAGTCACAGTTGGTTGAACACCCATACCCAACACTTGGTCCTTAATGGATCCTTAATGGGGTATCTTACAGTTCTGTCTTGGTTTCATTCTTCTTCAACATGTTTATAAATGACTTAAATGGGATCAAAGTGATGCTCATAAAATTTGCAGATGACTGCAAACTGGTAGGAACTGCTAACACCTCAGAAGACAAAACTTCAAAGCGATCTTGATAGACGTGAATATTGGCTCCTTTGGAAAAAAAATACTATTCAGTGGCAAGAAATATGAAGTTCTGCATTAGGTAGGAAAAGCCAGATGCCTAAGTTCAGGAAAAGTGATACCTGGCTCAGCCGTTGCACTTGGGTCTGGGTGTTTTGGTAGACCACAGATTAACAGGCAGTGTGCCACAGCTGCCAAAAGAGCCAATATGGTCTTGGGCTGCATCAACAGAGGTGGAATGTCAAGATCACAGAGGTCACAGTTCTGCTCTACGCTGCTCTGGTCAGACCACACGTAGAATCCTACATTCAGTTTTGGTCTCCACAATACAAGAAGGACACTGAGGAATTGGAAAGAGTATCAGAGAAGAGCAACAAAGATGGTGCAGGGTTTGGAGGCTAAATCATGTGAGGAACAGTTAAAAGAACTGGGTATGTTTCGCCTAAAGAGAAGTCTGACAGGAGACATGATGACACTCATAATACTTGAAGGGCTGCCTCAGGGAAAAGCTGTGGATTTATTCTCTCTCATGCCCAGGGGTAGGACAAACATCAACAGGAACTTTACAGAGAGAGATCCCAGCTTGAAATAAAGAGAAATTTCCTGACCATGAGAGCTATTGTGGAACAGCCTGCCACCTGGAGTTGTGGATGCATCATCAAACAGAGGTTGGACAGTCACTTGTGTGGAATGATCCGAGGAGCCTTGCCCTGGTCAAGGGGTTGAACTAGAAGACTTTGAAGACCCCTTCCAACTCTAGGATTCTATAAAATGCATTGGGGCAGATGAGAGGTTTCTGGACAGGACAGCCGATGTTTTCTAGGAGGGGCAAAGAAGTTAAGAGAGCCTGAGAGTACAGGAGCATCCCACCCCCTTCTTTGGCAGAAGCAAACATTTAGAGGAATGTGAGCCAAAGACGCAAGATTGAGAGGCCCTCACTGCAAGTGGAGCTCTAGAACCAGTTCTAGGTGCTCCCTCTTAGAGGATGATTTACAGTCATCTGAACAGGCCACGTTGTGGGATATCGTAGAAGACATGTGGGCCACGAGGACTGAAAAAACTCAAGAGCCACCCTGAGAAAGAAGAGGTACGTTGTGATAGTGGATGATTCCTTGCTAAAGGGACCCGAGGAGGATGTGTGCAGACCTGGTATGATGTGGGAAATGTGTGGTCTTCCAGGTCCCCATACAGGGAATGTGAAACAGGTTTCCAAGATTATCTAAACTCACTAATAACTTTCCTCTTGATCCATGTGCAGGCAAAAGACCCATCCAGAAGAGAGATTGAAAACACTTCTGGAGGCTATGAGTTGGTAGTCAAAACCTCAGATGTCTCTGCTCCGTGCACAGTGTATGGGAAATAAACATGGAGAAATAGAGACCCTAACTCAAGAAGTCAAAGATAATGGATAGTCATCACTGAAATTTGATTGGCACATAGACTACAATTAATTCCAGAGGAACAGGCTCAACAGAAAAGGTGGGAATGTTGCACATCACATAAAGAAAAAATATATACTTGCCCAGAAATTCAGGAATTGGACCATCGAAACCCTGTTCAAAGTATTTGGGTAAGAAAAAAGAGAAGAAGTAAAGTGACACCATGGTGGAAATTTATTATAGGTTACCTGGGCGGGCAGGGAGAAGGTCTGATATTAATGACCAGTCTCTCAAAGAGGCATGACATAGTGATAATGAGGGGTTTCTATTACCCTGACATCTGCTGGGAACTAACTCTGCTGAGAGTCAGAAGTCCAACAGATTTTTATCCTCTTGCTGACAAGGCCGTTTGTTAGGCTGAAGGTGGAAGAAGGAACAAGGGGGCTGCTACCTGGACAGGGAGGAATTGCTTGAAGAAGGGAAGCTGACCAGCATCTTGGGGCAAAGTGAATGTGTCGTTCTGGAATTTGTGGTCGGTGGGGAGGAGGAATAGAGGAGAGTCAGTCCTGCACGCTGGCGTTCGGAGGAGCAGATATAGATGAACTTTGAGGGAAGGTCGGCCCCTTCCACTCTTGAAGTCCTGAAGAAGTATGTCCAGGGAGGATGGGAAACCCAATAAAATGAGATAGTGAAGGCGCGGTTCTTCCAAGAGGGAAAAATGGGAGAAGCCTAGGGAGGTTATAGGGATGCATGCAGAGTGCTCTAAAATGCTGAAGAGTCCAGGACATCTGGAGGGCACCAAGTGAGGGAAGCTGCCTGGTTCTCTGATGCTGGGAGTTTGCATCTGCATGGAGGTCCCAAGTAGCTTTGGCCACAGAGTGCCTGGGTTAAATGAGCCCAGCTTTCATCGGGCCCTGGGAGCAGAAGAAAACCTACTTAATTTGTTGTTAGTCATTTACTGAGAAATGAGAGATCTTCCTTTGCCAGAAAGGTTTTGGCACAGCCGTGGGAGCCCCACGAACCCCAATCTAGGAAGAGATCCTTGGGTTCTCCGGCTCCCCCAGTGATAATTGAATGGATTGCAGAGCGCCATGTGAAGCACTTTTCAGATTAGTTTCCAAGGCGCAGTGTATAAATAGCAAGCGCCGTCTTCCTTGAAAGAATTAAGCTGCAATTAGACAGAGCTATTTCCGAAGCAGAAACTCTCGTAGCAGGAGACTGGACTGACTTCGGTCAGGAAAAATGTTGGTTCAGCAAACAGTTGTGAGCAAGGCGTGGGGTGCATTGTTCCAGCCCCAGCCTTAAAGAAACCCCCATCAGCAGGTTCAAAAGCAAGCCTCTGGAATATGAGTCACTTGGGTGAGCTGTGTGTCAAGACCCCTTCCAGGCAAGGCTCGGTCTGGAGAAGTTCGTTCCCAGGCAGGCTTTGGGCATTTATCGCCTCTCTTGGGCCCCCTGCCCACCACCCCCTCGGCCTCTTTTTTTGGGTTTTGGGCCTGCTCTGCCACGAACAGGCAGCCACTTCAAACTTCAGGTCTGGGTTGTTTTGCCTTCGGATGAGCTCAAGGTGCCTGAAGACTAAACAAGGTAGATAATTCGGCCCTTTACAGCAATAAAGCTTTGTTGCCCTGCCTCTCTGCCCCCCCCCCCCCCCCCCCCCCCCGCAAGCTTCCTTGTGCAAGGCACCACCTTTGTGCCCTGCTTTGCTTTGCCGCTTTCCTTCACTCGCCGCCTTTGGCTGTGTCATCGCTCTTCCTCCTCCTGCCCCCCCGAGTCTCCCAGTCCCTGTCTGTCCAGGACCCTCCCTTGGTCTCCTTGGAAGGCCACACGCCTTCAGTGTGGGTCAGTTCTCCAAGCTAAGGCGACCCTTCTCATCTCATGGAAGCTCCACTGCTGGAAACATATGCCAGCAGTCCGTGGCTGTCCGACCAGCCACAGAGGTCACGGTGATGGTGGTCTTTGGCTGTTCTGACCCTGAGATTGGGAGGCTCCTAAAGCTCACTGAGATGCAAAGGGGGGGGCGTGGCTTCTTCAGGGGGTGAAGCTGGGTGGCTCAGGGGAAGCCTTGACTGGGCCCAGGGGGGAAATGCAGCTTCTGGGGCCCAGCCAGGAGCAGGTCCTGGGCGTCCGGTGGCCATGGGCGAGGGAGCAGTCCCAGACTTGGGGTGCGAGCCCGAGTGCAGAGGAAGAGCATCTTCCCTGGAGGAAGTCCTCGGAGCAGGTTCTGGGACAGTCTGATGGGCGGTAGGAGTACCACAGGCGAGGAGAGCCAGGCCAGCTGTCTGCTCGGTTAGCTAACAAGAGCGGCTGCTTTGTTTTCTGCTGTGTCTCTGCCCAGAACTAATTTATTTTATGAAAAGATTTGCTTAATTAGTTTTGTTCTTTTGTAAGTGAGCCAAGCCATGTGAGAGGAAGAAGCTGGAGGTGTTCTGAACCAATTATAATTTTTTTTTCAGCGTTTGATTAACAGTTTTTCTTTAAACTCTTCAGGCTTGGACAGGGCGTGGGAGGGAATGAATTCCGCTGCTATTGCCTTGTTAAAGACGATTGTGAATGGCCACAAGGTAATGCTTTGAAGTGCGCACAGGATGGCTTTGGCGCCTGCTCGGGTCTGGAGGCGCAAGGGTTCTCTCCTAGAAGGGGCCTGGTGTGGAGCAGCGCAGGATGGGTGTGTCTCGGGGGCGGTGGGCACAGCGTGGAGGGCTGCTGGAAGGCCTTCATCTGCCGTGCCTCAGAACAAAACTCCCAGCAGCCCAGGGCTCTGCGACCCACACAGGCTGGCAAGGGGATGCCTATTGGGTGAGGGCCGACTGCTGATCCGGGTGACCCCTTTGTGGGAGCCGTCGGGCCAGGGACATGTGACCTTGTCTGTGTGCCCCTCAGGAACGGCACAGAGCTGCTGGTTGCCTTCCGGTGAGAGTTGTCATGTGGTGGCGGCTGGCGTGCTCGTGGGTTCAGAGCCCAGGGAGGAATGTTGTCCGTAGCCTTGAGCAGCGTTTGTGCTGGCAGGAGCCCCAAGGGAATGCTGGGAGTCCTGCCTGGGGTGGATCTGCGCCACATGAGCGGAGCAGCCTTCTCCAGACGGATGCTCGAACTCCGCTCTTGGTGGCGTGGTCAGGGGACGGAGGGCTCCCACTTGGGAGGCTGAAGAGGAGGGGGGCTTGGGCCTGGGAGCAGCAGCCTTTGGGCCAGGACCACCGGTGCCCTCACCTCCTGCCGCGCCACTGCCTGCTCTGCTGGGGGGGCTCTTGGGAGCTCCATAGAAGGGCCACCCAGCCATTTCTCAGGCTATCTCTGAAAAGGGGGGAAGATTTGGCATACTGGGTGGCAGGGCAATCTCCTGCTTTCTTTCTGAAGGCACCGGCCTCATCCTCTTCATGGTGTTCTGCCTGGCGATGCCTGGGCATCTCAACTGAGGCCACGGCTGTTTGCAAAAGGGGTTGAGGGCCGCAGAGGAATACCCTGGCTTTGAGTGGTAGGAACGACTTAAGAGCTGCCTCTGAGCTGAACTTCCGTGCTCAGTGGTACAGTCAAGTACCTTTCCCCTTCTGGAGCAAGACAGATTCTTGGGAACTGCATCCCTGATGCTGAGAGCCCAGGGGTGGTCGCTCCAGCCATTCCCAGGAGCCCTGGGTCAGCGGTAACATGGTGGGGTGGGGGATGGAGCCATGAGTGGAATGCAACCTGCAGCCCCAGCAGCGGAGGGGGTGGGCTGGTAGCCACGGGCCCATTGGCAAGAAGAGTGGCCAGGTGCTGAGCCTCTTCCCGTGGTGGCCACAGCTGCCTTGCACGTAGAAGCAGCACAAGGGCTGCCAGGCGTTCCTGGCTCCCTCCGTCGGTCGGAGGCTGCTTGGCCAGGGGGAACGGCCTTGCAGGCAAGTGGTGCTCCAAGGTCTGATCCTGGTGTTCTTTCTCCCCCACAGGCCTCATTTTATGGGAGATTTAGACACTTCCTGGACATCATTGATCCCCGCACCCTGTTTGTCACGAAGGTAACGTCTCTGCAGCCTGATTTGAGTGAGGGTATTTCACTCCTTTATGCTTCCTTGGCTTTTTCCCTGCGAAAAGTCCTCCTCTGATGCTGTATCCAGTTTAAATCTCTGTGAACAGAGTTTGTTGCCTTTTCTGACTTGCTGAGCTGTTCTCTGTGCGCGCCCCTCACAGATCTAAACCTGGCAAGTGATGCTTTCTCCCTTGGGCTTCTCTTGTCTAGGCCCCTTTAACCATTTCTTGCTTTCTAAATCATCCATCATCCGATGGCCCTCTCTGCAGTTCTCTGCCACGAGGGGAGGTTGCACTTGCAAATACTCCATGGCCTGCCCCCTTCCCAGTGGCCCGATGGCCTGACTGGCGAGCCGAGCTTTTCCTCCTGCAGGGATGGGTCTGGGCCATCCCTTCACTGCTTTGACTGGGCATGAGAGCTCCAGGCCCTTCCTTGGGGATCGCCCCTCTTCCTCCTCCTCCAGAGCACCTCCCTTGTAAGGTGGGGGGGACTAAGAGACCCCGTGGCTAAGGTTTCTCTGCCCCCATCCAGCCCCCTCCCTGCCGACTTCCTTCGCTGCTTTGCAACGCCCTCGGTTGCAGCGGGGCCCAGCCTCCAAGGAGCAGGGGGGCCATGCTTATTATCCCCTTCCCTAATCAGTTATGTGCTACCCAAAGTCTCTGATGGCACATACGTTTAATAAATGATAATAATGATAACAACAGCTTGAGTTTTCACTTTGCATTAGCCCCCCCTGTTTCTAAGACATGAGGCTTCTAGGGAAGTAGTAATAACTGGGGGCAAGAGCCGGTGCACTGCAAGGCAGGCAGCAGTAATAGTCAACGTTGATGAAGACCAGATTCCTCTTTTCAGATCCCTGGACTGGGAGAGTGTGGCGTTTTGCACCTGGGCGTTTCCCAAGGGCCAGCGGAAGGGCTCAGCTGCAAGAATGACTTGCACCTTGATGGGCCTCTCTCTGTCTGCCACCTTTGGGTCGGCCTTGGCCCTTGCTCTGGGGGGCAGCGGGCACTCATTCAGAAAGTGCTCTCAGGCTTCGGGGTCCCAACGAGGGAACAGGGGCTTCAGGAGAAACCTGGTGGGAGACTTGTTGCCATGTCAACGCCGGGGACAGCGGCCCTGCACATCCCCATTCCTCTCAGCGGCCAGGAGTCCTGGACCCTGGGGCGTTTCCCTGGAGGAACCTGCTGCAGGCCCAGCAAAGGGAACGACACCTGCCCCATCGAGGAATGACACCAGGACATACGTCAAAACCAAGATTAGGAAGATCCTTAATGGAGGGAGGAGGGAGCTTGTGGGGAAATTCCTTTTGCATTGCAGGAATTCTGCTGCTTACTATGCAATTAACACTTTAGAATATTAATATTGTTAAATAGTTTTATGCATTTTCACTTTTTGGGCATGAAGTAGATTAGGAACTAAGAAGGATAAAATGTGTGTGTGTGATGGCTCCAAAATAATTAGCTATATCAACATTTTGTGGAAGGATTAAAAGTCTCAGGATGTTAATTTACTAATATATGCATAAGTGCAAATTTGGACCTGATTACTAGCCTTTTTTTACGGATGGCAAGCAGTTAATTTCTCACCCGAACCACACTTAATTTTTGTTCTCCCTTATCAGTTAATTCTGTTCAGCTTATTTATCTCCATTAATTTCTCACACATCATAGTCCCTGATGAAAAGTGTGATATACTTGGGGACCAGTCAGAGATCCTATTTTTTTCCCAATGTTTTTTAAGTGTGTGTGTATGTATGCGAGAGGGAGGGAGAAACGGAGAGAGAGGAGACAGAATGGGAGGATGAAGAAGATAAATACCTGGGGAGGTTTATTAAATAGCTCTTTTGTGTGTGTGCACGTGCAAGAGAGAGCGAGAGAGTGCTGCTGGATCTGGATCTGATGACTCCCACTGAATGCAGCATCCTGTTACCACAGAGGTCGACCAGACACCTCTGGGATTAAGCCCCCAGCAGGACCGCCCTCATCCACAGCCCTGGGTTTCGGAGAGAAGAAGCCAGCTTCCCCGATTTCTCCAGCCACCCAGTTGCCTGACACATTCAGATGGATTGTTCAGGACTTGGGGGTGTGGAAAACCTGCTTTTTTTTTTTTTTTTGCACCTCCTGTGTAAACACATTTAAGTTGTGGTTGTCACTCTTTGGAGCCTCGTATTCATTTATGCAGCTGAATTCAGCCTGAAATATGCCAGAGTTTAATATATCCTTCAAGTAATTACCTAGCAAAAATTAATTATCACTACCCAGGACTCAAACATCACAAACACCCAGGCAAAGTTTTGTCATGCGCATGAGGGAAGGCTTAGAAAGGCAGTTATAATTGCAGAATGTGGGAGGCACTACTTGCTCTAGAGCAGTCTTTTTCAACCTTGGCCACTTCAAGATGTGTGGACTTCAACTCCCAGAATTCCCCAGCCAGCATACCAGCTGGGGAATTCTGGGAGTTGAGATCTACACATGGTTGCCAAAGTTGAAAAGCCCTGCTCCAGAGAGTACAAAAGGCATAGTCCTCTCCAGCTGTTTGTTGCCTGCTTTGGAAATGGAAATTGTGAGTACAGTAGTTGATTTGTTCACAATCCAAGACCAGTCATAAAGTTACATCAGATACCAAAGATTGCATGTGTACATCTAGAGGGAGGGTTGAAAGACAAGCCTGAAACCACTAATAATGCAAGGAAGGGACAAAATGACTTTGTAAGCCATGGTCCTGATAGAAATTTTGCATCCTTCTTGGAGGCATCTGGAAATTGGTCACCTATAAGGAGATCAGCAACATCATGAGCATAAGAACAGATTAATTTTCTGACAACTGGGCATTTTAGCAGCACACATGATCCAGGTTCACCCTCCATATTAAAGCCTGCACAAATGCGATTCACGCAAGGAAGGACGGTCTGTCTGTCCTTTGACATCCTAATGGTAGCACATCAGTTTGGGCCAGGGGAAAAAAGTCTCCTTTGTCAAACGTGTACAACATGAAAAAAAAAAGTTGGGATAGTTCAGGTGATGGTGGTAGGACCTGCAGTGGCATGGATGTGGGAAATTCTGGCTCTATCAATTTAGATGTCCTGGTCCCAGATCTTCTGCTTAAATTCACCTAATTTTTATTAAGGCCGAGGGTGGATATTGCCAGAACAGAAAAGCCACAAGATGCCAAATCATGATTAATTTGTCTCCTTGGGGAAGAAACAAACCTGTCTAACAAGGTAGGGTGGACCAAGGAAGTCTCCCAAAGGATTTGCTTTGACCAGGTGACAAAGTCTCAGACGAGTCCTCAGAGGAAATGCAGTTGAATTCTAGCTGTATGAGAGCATTGAGAGTTGATTAAGGGACTCGTATTATGGCCTTTATGGATTTTAATTGGATGACTTTGAAGCTTGTGGTATCCTTGCAGATGCAAAACTAAGCACCATATAGCATCAGACCAGAACTTTAAATAATTTAATTGCTTCTTAGGCGAAGTTGTTACTGTGTTGGCTTGCACGTTTAATAATGGTGGACTACAAGCGAGGGAGCTTAATATAAGAACTCAAATGTTATTATATTAAGCTCCCTCGCTTGTAGTCCAGCAGGTGGAAGGTTGAAAATGGACACCTAAGTGCTTCACCTGGTCAATACATTTCCCACTAGCTGGAGCCTTGAAGCACCTTCTTGAGAATACTAAAACCTTAGTTTGAGGACATTTAATTTCAAGGTTTCCATAGGACAATAAAATGGTAAAGCTTTAAGGCAGGTATGCAGACCCACCTGTGTTACAAATAGAAGGGCCAAGTCATCAGCATAGAGGAGAATAGAGATGGTGCGATGGCAAGAGATGGAGGATGAAATTCTGGCTTAGCAAAATCCTCAGAGGTGTCACAGAAATACAAATTAAGCAGTATGGGGGAAGAATACATCCTTGTTTGATGCCCTTTTGGATGAGGATAGATTCAGTTGAGTAGCTACTGTGTTGTGATAGTCCTGTACTTGAGTGGTAGTGCCAAGCTGCAGTGCTGCTGTTGGTTTAAGAAGGTGACGATCGATCGATCGATTGATTGATGGAGCAGCTAGTTTTCTCCAGAATCTCTGGTGCTGGATCAACGGCTGCCTTTAAGTCTATAAAAGCACGTCTGTCAAAGGTGCCTTTTGGTGGGCTGGAGCTGTGTTTCTCAACCTTAGCAATTTTACGACGTGAGAACTTCAGCTCCCAGTGTGCTGGCTGGGGAATTCTGGGAGTTGAAGTCCACACTTCTTGGAGTTGCCAAGACTGAAAAGCGCTGCTCCAGAGAGTACAAAAGGTATAGCCCTCTCCAGCTGCAGTCGATCCAATAATTTATAATATAGGAATCTAGCATATAGTTTGCTAATTATAGATAAGAGATGAATTGGTGGATAGGTATCAAGATCCCATTTGTCATCCTTTTGTGTATAGTGGAAAGGTAATAGAATTATGCCAGTCTCTTGGGAGATACAAATAATTGTTTAGAGGAGTAAAAAGAGGGACGGAAGGAGGCACCCACTAAACAGGATTTGTTTTTAGAAATTTTGTAGAGTTAAATCTTTAGTGGTAGTTTAACTATTTTTCCACTGAACTG